TCCATACCCACCGGCAGGCTTGAACCCAACGACAGTCACAATGTCGGTAATTGTTCTCCCTTGGCGTAACGGAATATCATCTACATATCCCCTTCTCTGACATCGTTGACATGGTTTAAAGGCCAGACAACCCCTTGTTTTTGCAAGCCGCATCTCGATGTTCGTACCCTTCTAACCAGGCTGGAACTCTATGAACAGCGCACTTTACAAAGCCGCCTATGATGAGCCCTACCATAGAACATGACCGTATATCCATCATCGGTCCATGCTATTGCACCGAAGCTACGTGGCTCTGAGGATATCGCCAACCGGCTATATCTCTGACTGACTTTCAAGGCACCCATTCATTACTCAAATGGACGCTAGCAACCAAGGCTGTTCTTGCGCTCATCAAGCGTTCCCCGTTATCCCAAACAGAATACAAAGGCGCTATACTGTTGACTTTGGGAGGCCCTGAACCACTAAGTCGGTACTCTTATTTCTGTCGGTACATTACTTGCGTCAGTTATCGAGAACGAATGCGACATCATGAGGGTTAGGGAGGGCGGCAAAGAAAAGCACTCTCAATGGCTTGCCACTTTCGATCATTGGACCACGGGTTTTCAACACATGACAGCAGATGTTTGTGGGGCATTTGTGCAGGCCATAACGGAGGGCCACGACCAAGGATTTATGAATTATATATTACTAGTAACGACAACATTGCCCGACATCTGCTTCAGATGAACGATGCAGCTGGTCAAGCCGAACTTCAGTATTGGGGATGTTGGGGATTCTGGTAAGTCAGAGGCTTGCAAAATATTCTACTTGGTAGCTGATCACTACCCTTTAGTATTGGAACGGTTCTTAGCTCGACCTGTGCTTCAAAGCTTCCTATACGCTCCCTCATCTATCACGCATTTCGAGCGACCCATTATTCTTCCAGCTTTTACGATAAATTTGAACGAATGGTACTCGATGGTATGTATTCTCTCCTCCTCAACTCGTTTTCGTTTACTCACATTAAAGATGACCGCGCTGTACGCTGAAGTTCAGAACAGTTGATATGTCCATCCCTCGAATGACCGGCGCGAGAACACTGTCGACGCCGACGCCAACATGCAATCCTTCCTTCCAATGACCTCAGTTTTTTATATCAGTCAGCTCTAGCCTAGCCAGTCCAAATCGTGGCCTCTTACCCTACAGCGTCGTCGACTACACCGTCATGAGAACTGCAATCAAGACCGCCTTGTGCTAACCATAGAGTTATTTCTCTGTCCTCGCTGAAGATCTCACGTGTCTTGCAGCAGGAGACAGCACCAGAATCTACGCATTGCAGGAACAGCAGACGACCCGTCACCTGTCATGTGGCGATGCAACATCTATTGCCGGGTCTGTCCCAGATTGGTACGCATATTGGGACAACCTCAAAGCTTTTGCTGAATACTACTTCCTCAGAACCAGCTACTCGTGTGTATAGTTACTCGATGACAAGCATGTATTAATTCTTTCTTTTCTTTCCGCAGATGCAAGTTCCATCGTGAAGGCATACTTACAGTTCAGCTGCTTAAAGACTAACTATTGTTTGCTCTGACGAGTACCCTCCTAGGTCCAATCACTGCAAACACAACTTATCCTATTCCTTTTATCGGAAACACTGCTGGTATGTACAACTGTCCCAAACCTTCCTTCCTTACTAACATTGACGTATTATTCAGATTCCCTTGCTCCTTTCACTTCATCAGTTCCCCCAGCCATAATACATGACAATTCCATTTCATTGATGCTAAGAATATGTCCCTCGCATTCTCTGGCTCCATAGTTTTGACTTAAAACTCGTCAGGGCTGAGTAAGTATTTGTAAAGCAGCTTTGTCTACGGACCCGCTATCTCACTCCTACAGCACACACCGTTGGCTGCTTCGTCTGCATATGTGAATGCATGTGCTTGAAAGATACTTTCAAAATGTCACTCTGCTAAGCGACGGTACGGGCTCTGAAACGGGGTCTGATATGTTCCTATTTTCTTGAAACAGGACGAGTTGTTCATAATATGCTCGTATGTACTTAGCCGACGCAAATAGCTCTAACTGGCCCTCAATCCACATATCGATCAATGCTAACAACTTGAAGATGGTCGAATAGCAGAATTGACCGGCCGTCTCGTACACGACATGAAGAAGGACTTGAAAGATTTTATGTATGTGTCAACAATACTGTGTGAGCCATCCTGGTGTTTGGGACTCGATAGAGTGCGAGTCACTGTGGAAGACACGCATCAAACTATTAATCTGGAAAGCTTTCTTGCAAAACCTGACAGAGAAACGTTTAACGAAGAATAATTATGCACAGAAATACGGCAATTTGATTAGTAAAGGTGAAATCGAAGATCATAGTCCTGAGATAAATATCACTGCTCTTCCCGCCAACCCTCGAATTATGAACTAAGACAAATAGCCGCAGGTAAATGAAACTACGATCACTGACTTTTATCAGAGAACACAAATTCTGGATCCTGCTACAAGCAGTGCAAACATCCCACCGGTATGGCTATGGATGGAATGAGAGCCAGTACGATCACCCCAAAAAAAACATGGTCACCGACTCCCTTACATCATCTGAACATGGCGAGATGAGGAACCATGAGCATCCCTCATCTTAACGAAATCCTAGTATGGTAGTAAAGAGAGAGAAGAAAAGCAAGAGCTACAACACGACCACTCTGACAAGCCTGGATATCAGGGTGGGGCCCGTCTCAAAGACGAGCATCACGTCAGATAGAGAATGTCTCACTCTTGAAGCAAGGTTCAGAAAAAAGGGAGGTCTTGGTCAGACCGCCGTCTTAACTGGGCCACGGTCTACTTTGAATTCCTACAAAAGAGAGTCGAACAAGAAGTCGAGTCAAAAACCTCGGAGACTTGCGTAAGGCTTCGAGTCTCCAATCTAACTCAATTCCCCACAGATCCTAGTCCAAAAAGAAGATACCCCGCAATCACAAAACTCGGACAAATGCACTTTGAACGAAACTGATTAATTCTCGTATGAACAGAACCTAGCGAGATCGGAGATAGTCAAAACACCCCCCTTGGACCACGACCACTTGCAAGCAGCCAAAACAGAAATGGAGCCAGGAGGATGGAGAATGGACTAAAACTCGGAATGGCACGGTTGCAAAAAAAAACCATCACAAATACATATCAGAGAAACTCGAGATCTTCCCGTGCAGTAAACAGAGGCAAGAGAGATACCACTGAGTAAAAAAGTTCTGATGATTTGGATTCACCAAACAATGAGTGCAAGCCAGGTCGTAGCATCAAGGAAGTAGTCTACAACCACTTACCCGTTCATCCCCGAGCACCTTTTCTCGGTGTGGAAGTCGAACAATACTAAATAAGCTCAGCGGTACATACACGGCAGCACATAATTGTCCTGTGCAAAGAGAGTCACGTCCAGGGATTTGAGAAAAAGGGACTTGTGTTGGCAAATGCATCAGCGGAGAATCGAACCCCGAACGTGGCCACTGGAAAGTTTCGCTATGATGATGGGAAGACCACATGTTAACCATTACACCACTGATGCATCCCATATCTATTTGCACGGTTAGGTTCACAAATTCCATCTCCATCTCTTTCATCTTCTTCGCCTGGGGTAGTAGGTAATGCCATAGCTCACCCCGCACGTCACACACGCTACTATCCCCAGACCTCACCAGCATTTTCACGGCTCAATTAAAAATCCACATATCGCGAACTAGCGACGCTCGATTCCTACCTTACAAGTCGATCAATACGACCCAATCCTATTCGAGGTGTCACAAACAATCGTACTTGCCACTACCCTCCTCCCTAGTATCAGGTAGATACGTCCCACCTCTATTCTATTCAGTCCAATGTTCTCATTCTATCCTCAGACACAGGTTCATGGAATACGACAAGCAGGGCGTTTGTTTGTATGTATGGACAAAACACCCAGGCCATCCATCCATACCCTCACTCACTAGCATGCACCCCCCACCCACACATCCCAGGACCCGCGCGCATCGTGATCATCCGGCGACACTGCCCCTGATACACGGTGCTTGATCACTCTATCCAATCTCCATGATCAGACTTTGAAAACTCGCATATATCATCAAAGACGGGTTGACCTCTCCAGAACGCTGGCACCGATCATGTCAACCCGCGTACACGTTTGTGGTATGTGAATCTTCGTGTGAAGACCTAGCGCGCTAGGCCAGGACTCGCGAAGATAGGAGAGGCATCCGAGGTTGCAAGGTACTGACATAATCCCATATAGCATAAATTTGGGTGGTGAATGAAGGTGGGGGGGACACCATCGCGTCGTTGTGCATTAGTCACGAAATACCCCAGCTTCAAGTTGTGACCAGTTGTGATTTTTGTACGCTATTACCGGGCATACACTGAGATCCTAGAAAAGGGGCTTCATGGGGCCACTAGAGATCCTAGCCCCGGAATGAAGTTACCACCCAATCACGAAACTCGGACAAATGCATGCACATACCTCGAGTCCAGGGCTGCTTCTTTCACGAAATCGATTAATTCTGGTATCGTACGGGAACCCAGCGAGATCAGAGATACCAGTGGAACCATGAGTAGGTGGGAAGAAAGGGTCTGGTCCACATTTGATGGTCCAGGCGACAAAAGAAACAAAAACAGAAACAGAAAAACCAAACGAGCAAAAGCTTGGAATAGCAGATTCAAGAGGGCAAGACCTGGATTCAGGGAAATCTACATACCCCCCCCCCCAAAAAAAAAGGTCATGCCATTGCCGATTTTGAGAGACCCGCTACGTAATAAGCGGGAATGTCACAGTCACCACTTGAAATCCGCATCAGGAAAACTCGAAATGTTCCTGTACCATGAACAAGGGCAAGAGGTAAGATGCCACTGAGGCAACGTCAAACACCCTGGAGGTTTCGTGTGTAGCCCTCACCGGCATACGGGTCCCGGTAGTGTCAGCGACGTCCAGGGAATTTAAAAAACACTCGTCTTCATTCGGGGGATGCACCAATTGGGGTTCGAACCCCAAACGTAACCGATATGTACTTGGGAAGACCACACGTCAACCATTACACTACTGATGCTTCACAGAGTAGGATAGGTATTTATACATGGCACAGGATGAGACTGAAGTGAAAACGAGGTCTTATATCCGACATATGAAGAGGAAGCTGACATTGCCCAAGTATAATAAAAATACATAGACGCTCGCGCGCTTACCACGGTGTTGCTTATAGTCCGTGTCTCGCTAGAACAATGTTTCACGAACCAGCTTAGACAGAATACGGATACAATCAGGATTGACATACATCGTTCCAACAAGAGAAAACATCACACCGTATCTGGCAACCCATCCAAGCACTTCCTCACCCTCTCCAGCACCGCCAACCGCTCATACACCGCCCTCCCACACCCCGCACACCTCTCCCCCAAACACCTCTCCATCTCGTCCAACTCCTCCACCTCCAACGAACACAGCCCCTCCCCCGACGGCCGCGCGTCCATCTCCCAGAACATCCTCCACACCAGCGCCGCCCACCCCGCCCCACCCACCGCCTTCCCGCACCCCGCACACCTGCTCTCCGCGCCCTCGCCCGCCATACCCGCGCGGAACTCGTCCCGCCGCTTCCGATGGAACTTGAACAGCTTCACCAGCGCGCGTGTCGGGATCCGCCGCAGCACTTCCTGGTGCTGCTCCTCGTGCAGGGACAACTCAAGTGTGTGCTTCGATGCCAGCTCTGCTTCCTCGTCCCACCCGAACCGCGTCGCTATCGCATACACCCTAAGCGGCTCCCTCATGAATACCGGCGCAGTAATCGAAGCACGCACGACATCCACGGCACCCCTCGCGCCCCACGTCTCAGCTAGGCCCAGCACACCCTCGAGGTCGTCAAACGTGCGCCACGGGGGGATCGCCAGACCGCTGAGGATCCGCAGCAATCGCTCGAGGACGGCGTCATGCTCGTGAATGGGGATAGGCTTGCTAGGTGGTTCGAAGTTGAAAGACGGGGACGCGAAGGTGGTAGTGCGGCGCAGGACTGGGGAGGGGAGACGGTAGAGGGTGTTGTCGACGGAGGATAGGATGGCGTCGGCGTCTGGGGCGTTGAAGGCGGGGTGGTATGATGCTGCGAGTTCTTGGGCCATGGTGGAAGTGAGGAAGGAGGAAGGTAGTGATGGCGAGCATGTGTTGATGGACTCTTCGCCGCATGGTCGTGGCGGTTCTCCGAATCGCATCAACGTGAAGACTTGTTGCTGCTTGCATGCAGAAAGCATGTCCACGGAGCTGAATGCCTAGCCTGTCCTAGCCAAGAGTTTTAAGGATAGAATGGTATGATTGAACGAAAATTTCACCCACGAGCATCACCAGGAGAGTCGATACACCAGAGCCTCATTCCAGCGTCAGACAAACCAAGCGCTGTCGACGTGGTCATCTCGTATCTATAGTCCACGAAGCATCGGAAACCTGAGGAACGTTCACCAAATCGGCACCAATACGTCTACGACGCCTGTACGTCCGTCCCGGATACGCTGACTCCGCTATCGAAGATTCTTCACTCTGATTCGTGCCCGTCCTTAACGACGTCGAGGAGCACCTGCCGCACTATCAAGTAGATCAAAAAACGAATACAACAGCAGGACACGTCGCGTACCTTTCACGCTTCAAAACTCCACTTTCAAGTCATATCTTCGCGTCGTTCCTCTCTCTCCTTTTCCAAAGGCCACCCTGCCGCAGGTAATATCAGAGAATGGTCATCTACGAGCGCATATGAAAGGGTGTAGCGATGGGGAAAAGAGTGTCCATCGAAACCGTGATCATGGTCCACAAACGAAGGAGTCGTGGGAACAAATATTTACGTGGTCCTCAAAATGGCTTCGGAGGTCGGGCCGACGTATCATCTCAGAACCCACATCAGCACGAAAGAATGTTTTATCTTCTCATTCGTCGACTTTATCTCAATGGGCCGATCCTTACCACCAAGTTGTGGTCCATGGAAACATCTATGGATTCCTGAAAATACCGTCAGTAAAGCGGTTCACTCGACGTTCGCTGAACAAGGGCGTACAGCTGGGATAGAAACGTCTTTCCGCTCCCAATTCCTCACAACTGTACCAGTCTCCACAGTGACGTCTTTCAAATCCAGTGACTCCAGGTAAATTGGGGTCTTTCTCTCTCTACATCGACGCGTAATAACTTTTCCCATCACGGCACCAAGGGTGAAGGATCTCTCTGCTTCTCGCTCACGTCTATACAACCACGTGGCGCTCCTCCTTCCGTGTTATTCAATTTATTGTCTGTATAGCTCTTGCTCATGAATACAGCCCCTCCCCGTCAGCTTCAAGATCAGCGAAGACCGGCTGGAAGTCATTCCCAGACGTTGGCGACACAATTTTGTACTTCAAGCGGCACGTAGATGTAGTGCACCTCGTACACTCAACCTGGCATTATCTTCATGTAGCAGCCTCTATACCAAATGATAGGCTTTAGCCCCCAAAAAAGTCGTGCTTTCGTCAGTCTCATCTCTACATTCGGGTCCGATCTTTTGTAACATATCTAACCAGGCTGGAAGTTCACGAACAACGCATCTCACAACACAGTCCTACTTCTATCCATCATGGGTCCACAGAAGCTGAGCTCGAAGCTGAGGCAGCGCGAAAATACCAGCTAGATCAACGGTCCTCACCATATTGAAATCAAACTCTATATTCTCCACAAGTACGATGTCCTCGACGAGCTAGTCGCGTACTACATGGATACCACGACGTGTCCGACTCTGACAGTGACGATCATACCCAGATCCAAACATCACCGCTCATCCCGCAAAGTTTATCGTCATCATCCCAGGGGCTAAACGAGGATATCAACCAAGAATACCAACCCGCTCCATTTCCACATCGTCACATATATTATCAGCCTTTCCCAAACGAACCGCGCACAGATATCCTAAACTTCTCAAATGATTAGCTACGCTGGCTAACTTCCGATCGTCGGCCTCCCAAGTTCCAACAGTGACTTTCACAAAAGTCCGGTCTGGGAGGAGTTTGAACGATACTCACAAAGCATGCTCTGCTGCCACGCTGACACCCGAGTCCGAGTCCGAGGACGTTCCGCATCTGCCTCCAAATTAAGTGTGCAAAAATGCGTCGCCTGACCCCCCTCGTCGCCCTGGTACTCCAAATATCATTGCACACGATTCCAGGTACTTCCCGATTCCCAGGACTGTCGTGTCATCTGGAACCAATGCGACATCATGAACTCCCATCCTCGTGGTCGGTAGGGTTAGGTTTTCTTTTCTAACCCGCCCTATCTCTCACATGGTCCCTGATATAGGCACAATTACGCACCTCCAGTAGAGTTTTTTCCCTCGAAAAAAAAGCACTCTTCGTGGCTTACCATTCCCCCTATAGGACCAATGTTTCTAAAACCCAGCCCAATGAGATCTCTCCTTTATATGCTTCTGCGCAGGTTATAGCACTGGAAGAACTAGCTGACGTACGGGTTCATGAATTACGTTAAGACCGACAGCATAACCCAAAATCTGCTTTGAATGAACGAAGCAGCAGGTGCAAACTTCAGTATTCGGGGTTCTCATAAGTCGGTTTGCGATTTAATAATACAAGGCTGCTTACTACCTTCTAGATATGGAACGGTCCTTGGCTTGACCGTTGCTGCAGTATTTCGCGGTACACTCCATCACCCATCACATTTTCCAAGTGACGCATCGTTCAACTAACTTCTAGGATGAAGATGAACGCGCGGTGCTCCATGGTATGTATTCTCCCCTCCCCAACTCAGGCTTGCTTACTCATACTTATCGGGTGTCTTGAGTATGGAGCACATTATCACAGCAAGACAGCCGTTCCTTGTCCAGAACTTTATCATATCTCATATTTATATTGCTCAGATGACCGGCGCAACACCACTGTTGACGCCGCGAAGTCATGTAATCCTTCCTCGATGGATGCGTACCTACGGATCTAGTGCTGCTGAGATACCCGACAACCCCCATTCTTTATACGAGTTTGTTCTTGCCCGGCCGGTCACTCCGTCATCCTTCGGCGTCGTCAAGTATACTATCCTGAGAACCTGGGTCGAGGACTACCATCCAACTATTTTTCTAACCCACCGAAGCCGGTCTTGGGCTTCTCACTGCAAATTCAGATCCGCTAACTCCTCTTGTCAGTTATCCCGGACATAAAACATGACAATTTCATTTCATTGATATTCCCTCAAAGCCAAGAAGATGTCACCGGCATTCTCTAGCTCCGTTGTTTTGACTCAGACCTCGTCGGGTGTGAGTAAATATTTCTAACGGGGCTTCGTCCGTCCACTGACCCGCTATCTCGCTCCTACAGCACACACCTTTGGCCGCTTCATCAGCATGCGCGAATGCATGTGCTTGAAGGATACTTTCAAAATGGCACTGTGCTAAGTGACAGTACGGGCTCTGAAACGGAGTCTGATATGTTCCTATTGTCTTGAAACAGGACTAATTGTTCGTAATATGCTCGCATGTACTTAGTCGATGTAAATAGCCCTAACTTGTCATCAATCCACGTATTGATCAATGCTGACAACTTGAAGATGGTCGAATAGCAGAATTGCCCGGCCGTCTCGTACACGACATGAAGAAGGACTTGAAAGAATTTATGTATGTCTCGATAATACTGTGTGAGCCATCCTGGTATTTGGGACTCGATAGAGTGAGGGTCACCGTGGACGAAACGCATAAAGCTATTACTCTGGAAAGTTTTCTTGCCAAACCTGACAAAGAAACGTTTAATGCAGAATAATTGGGCAAAGAAATATGGTAATTTGATAAGTAAAGGTGAACCCGAGGATCATAGTCCTGAGATAAATATCACTGCTCTTCCCGCCAAGCGCATCATTCTCGTCCCCGGCAGCCGCACAGCTCTGTTCTGCTTTGATGACATCGACAGAGAATTCCGACTCGCCACATCTCCAGGTCTGCAAGTCAGTTTTTCCAACAAAACTTCCTAAACTTTTCGAACAATAGCAACCTGAGTTACTCCCTGTTGGCTCTAACATCCCATGATCTGTATCTCAACGAAGAATGGGAAGACT